TTGTTAGCCATTTGTGATTCCACTATCGAGGATTCTCTGTTTAGAACCATAGCCTAAGCTGGGCGGTGGTGGAGCACACCTTTAATCCCACCACTTGGGAGGCAGAAGCAGGTGGATTTCTGAGTTCGAGAATTCGAGGCTAGCCTGGTCTACAGAGTGAGTTCCAGGACAGCCAGGACTACACACAGAGAAACCCTGTCTCGAAAAAAAAAAAAAAAAAAAGAACCATAGCCTATTTTGTACTTGGATTGTTAAGTTTGTTGTTTAGCTCATTGAGTTCTTTATATATTTTGGATATAGGCCTCAGTAAGATGTGGACTTGGTAAAAATCTTTTCTTGCCAGGTAGTGGTGGCGCATGCCTTTAATCCCAGCACTTGGGAGGCAGAGGTAGGCGGATTTCTGAGTTTTAGGACAGCCTAGTCTACAGAGTGAGTTCCAGGACAGCCAGGGCAACACAGAGAAACCCTGTCTCGAAAAACCAAAAAAAAAAAAAAAATCTTTTCTCATTGTACAGGTCAGTTTTGTCCTATTGAAGTTGTTCTTTGTATTAGAGAAACTTTTTAGTATCACCAAGTCCAATTCATTAATTGTTGATCTTAGTGCTAGCATGGTTGGTCTTCTGTTTAGGAAGTTGTCTCCTGTGTGAATATCTTGAAGGATACTCCTTATTCTCTCTTCCATCAGGTTCAGTGTGTCTCCTTTTATGTTGAGATTTTATGATCCATTTGAGATTGTTTTGCAGAGGGTGATTAATATGGATGTACTTGTGTACTCCCATATGCATATCCAATTAGACCAGGTCCATTTGTTGAAGATGCTTTCTTTTCTCTACTGCATCTTTACAGCTTCTTTATCAGAAATTAAATGTTGATAAGTATGTGGATTTATGTGCAAGTCTTTGATTTGCTTGCATTGATTGATATGTCATTTTGAATGCTAATACTATGAAATGTTTATGACTATGTCACTATAGTACAGCTTGACATCAGGGATGCTGATATCACCAGAACTTCTATTACTGTTCAGGAATCCTGAGTTTTTTATTATACCATATGATATGAATCAATGTCCTTTCAAGGTCTGAAAATGATTGTGCTAGAATAGAATGGGAACTGTTTTGAATCTGTAGGTTGCTTTGGTAGGATGTCCATTTTACTAAGTTAATTCTACTAATGCCTGAGTTTGGGGATATCTTTCAATCTTTTGGTATTTTCTTCATAGTTCTTGTCAAACAAGTCTTTTAGTGGCTTGTGGACAATTGCCCCAAGATATTTTTTTATTATTTGTGACTATTGTGAAGCATTGTTTCCCGTAATGTTCTTCTCCACCCATTTGTCTTTCATATATAAGAGAGCTATGATTTTTTGAGGTAATTTTGTATCCACCATTTTGCTCAAGGTGTTTATCAACTGGTAGAGTTTTGGGTACTGCTTACATGTATTATCATATCATCTCCAAATAATGACACTTGACTACTGTCTTTCTAATTTGTATTCCCTTGATCTCCTTTAGTTGTCTTATTGCTCTAGCTAGAATTTCCAGTACTATTGGAATAGACATGGATAGAACACACAACCTTGATTTTTTTTTAATGATATTTGTAAGGCATTTTTGAATTTCTCTCTATTTAATTTGTTATTGGCTGTAAGCATTTTGTTAATTTCCTTTATTATGTGTAGGTATGTCCCCTGTACTCCTGGTCTTTAAACACTTTTATTATTATGAAGAGGCACTGGAGTTTGACAAAGGCCTTTTGAGTGTCTAATGAGATGGTCAGGTGATTTCTTTTTCTTTCATTTTATTTATATGGTAGAATATATTGACAAAGTTTTTTTAATGTTGAACCATCTTTCCATGTCTTGCAGGAAGCTGACTTTGTCATTTGTATGTTTATCTTATCATTTGTATTTGATTTAATCGATTCTGAGTATCTTGCTTGTATGCATGGATGCCCATCACATGTTGTGTGTATGATGCTCAGAGTCGTCACAAGATGGCCTTAGAACCTCTGAACTTGGGATTATTGATTGTTGTGAGCTCTCGTGTAAACACTGAGAATTGAACCCATCTCAGTGACACTTGAACCCATCTTCTGTTAGACCCTGTGCTGTTAATTCCTGTTCCCTTGCTCTTGCCCTATGTGGTATTTAAGGTCTACATATACATTGCTTGTATTTTCATCTGTCCATCTCTAGCTGTTTCAACAGGCATTCTTTTTTTGTTTTGTTTTGTTTTTTTTCGAGACACAGTTCAACAGGCATTCTTTTCTAGTAAATTTTCTTAATCCTACAGTTTAAGTGGTGACACTCAGTTTACTAGAATATGAATGCAGAAGTGGAGTAGATGTTTAAATCTTTGTAAGATGTTCATTGAGACATGCAGAGTTTTTGCATATGTTTTTTGTTTATGTGGTTGTTTTTATGGGAAGGGTGGTGGCAGGTTCTTAATGTTTACTTCAAGCAGTCCTGAAACTCATTACATAGACTAGGCTGGTCTCCAATGAGATTCCCATATCTCTGTCTCCTGGGTGGTACAATTAAAGGCATGCACCAACACACTCAGCTTGCCTATCTCTTTTTGTAGTTAGTCATCATTCAGATCATTTCTCTGATGTGTATAGTATTGATCTATTTGTCTCTGACTATATGGCTGTTAATAGGCCTTTCTCCTGCAAGTTTACATTCTATTTAGAGGGCCCAGAAATGACAGGGTTGGTCCTCCTTTTCAGGTTCCTTCTACAATGACTTGGTGATTACATTAGAATTTCTGTATCATGGAGTAAGTGTGGAAATCACCAGAGTTATATGAATGTATTTTAAAGAAGTATGTATTTAATATATTGTCAGAATTATGCTTTCTATTGAACACATGTATGGATATTTTAGGATGCACTGACATATGATGATGTCCACATTAACTTCACTCCAGAAGAATGGGCTTTGCTGGATCCTTCCCAGAAGAATCTCTACACAGATGTGATGCTGGAGACCTACAGGAACCTCACTGCTATAGGTAAGACTATGACTTTTAATCCATTTTTTAAAATATGAGGAAAGGTGTTTCTTGGTTATTGAGCTCTTCTTTCATTTTGATTATGAAACAGGAACAATGTGGTAAATAAATCAGGCAGAGTTCTCAGGTTCATTGAGGAGAATAACTTAACTCTTCATCAGTTTTCATTATATATCATACATTGTCTGGTAATATATTTTAGGTTACAAATCAGAAGACAATAATATTGAAGAATATATTCAAAATTCTAGAATACATGGAAGGTTAGTTTTATATTCACACTGATACAAATATGCTTCTAAAGAATTTTGAGTGTGCCCTTGAAATTTAAAAAAAAAAACCTCAGTATAAACAGGCATAGCTTTAAGTGTACTGATGATTAGTAAATTCTCACAGTACCAAGTACCTTAACATCAGGTAGTCAGGGAAAAACTACAAACAAACAATGACTTAACAGCTATTACATTTTAATTATATCCTCAAAGGACATATACATAGATTAGATCATAAGCATATGTCTAAAATCTCTTAATCGCAAACATTCCATGATAAATCCCACATTACTCATATACATTTTATTGATTCACCAAAGTATAGTGAGAAGGGTAATTTATGAGATTCAAGAAGATTAGGGTGTAGAAACCTTTATCCTCATATTACACCTCTGTGATAAACAAACAGTAAAACTGTATGAATGGAAAGTGGAAACCTTTTACTTTTATTCTTGCCATAATTGATATGTGTCAGGTTAGATAAAAGCCAAGTGAGGATCTGGAACATGGAAAGTGCCTTTCTCTCTCACAACAATGAGAAGATATACAGTTGTCCCCACTTTGAGTAGACTGAGAAGGTGATATGAGTTTGCAATTAATTATGTATCCAACTTCATTGAGAATATGGAAATACATTCACACTGCAGAAAAACCCTTTGAGTACAAGGAATATGGACATTGTTTTGTTTGTCCTGGTTTATTTTGCATTTGTAACACGACAGTATAGCAAAATGATGAGTACAATCACTGTGGCAAAGCTCTGAGTTCTTCCAGTTCTCTTTAGAAATGTGGAAAAACTCACATGAGAAAAGGGTTTCAGAAAGATGAATCATGTACTAAGCGGTTTAACCACCACAGCTATCTTCCAATATACAAAGGGACCCATAATAAAGTAGAAACTTATGAATCCAAACAAGTGATACAACCTACGATTTGTTACCTTTTTACAGTAAACAAGACAAAATTGTGAAATTAAATCATACAGATGAAAAGAGTCATCAATTTAATCAATGTGGTAGTGTTTACACATGTCAATTGTCTTCACAGGCATAAAGGAAGTCTTGCCAGAGAGAAACCCTATGAGTATACTCAATGTGATAAGACCTCTACACAACACAGTGGTCTTCAAAGGCATGAAAGAATTGATACTGGAGAGAAAGCTTATGAATGTAATGAATGTGGTAAAGCCTTTTCATGCCACGGTAATCTCCAAAACCATAAAAGAACTCATAATGGAGAAAAACCCTATGAATGTGATAAATGTGATAAAGCCTTTTCTCAAAAGAGTAATCTCTGACAGCATAAAAGAACACATTCTGGAGAGAAACCCTATGAATGTAATGAATGTGGTAAAGCCTTTTTACAACACTGGAAACTTGGAAGGCATAAAAGAACACATTCTGGAGAGAAACCCTATGAATGTAATGAATGTGGTAAAGC